TCCCAGCTACTTGGGAGACTGAGACAGGAGGCGGATCCCTTGAATCCAGGAGGTCAAGGCTACAATGAGCCACAGTCGAACCACTGCACGCCAGCTTGGTTGACAGAGTGACACTGTCTCAAAGTAGTAGCTTTCCAGCTGGTCACAGTATTTGCAGCCTTCATGCCCTGATAATAAGTCTCCACCTTGCTGCCATAGTCATCTCTTCTGTTTGTTATTTCAAATACATCACTGCTTCTGAGGTGAGGTGTCTATGGCAATGGTTCTAATATTTGGAAGGGGGAAGGCAGTTCACATCTTTTTTTTTTTTTAAGAGATAGTCTCGTGTTGACCAGGCTAGTCTTGAACTCCTGGCTACCAGCCATCCTCTCACCTTCCAAAGTGCTGAATTAACATGGCCCTCTTTTATAACCTGGTCAAAATGGGTGGACATTTATCTCTGAAATGTGCCTAAGGGCATATTTGCTTTCCATAGGACTTTTTAAAAAATCACATTTAAGTTCTTTTCCAAATATGAACTTCTGAGGATGCTATAGTTTTTTTTTAAATGCTTGGATCCTTAAGCTCTACTCATGGCTTGTTTCTTCTGAAAAGTACGCTTTCAAAAAAAAAAAAAAAAAAAAACAACCAGAACACTGGATTAGATACACCTGCTTTCTGCTCTTATAATCCCTTAAGAATCTTGCCCACCAGCAGTAACTTCAAGTTAGCAACTTAAAGCACTTTGGTTCCCAGTATAGACCCTGGCCAAAGTAGGCATTCATTTGATGCTTATTAAATAAATGAGTAAAGTTAGGACTTTTCGAGTGTCTTTCTTTGAGTAAAATATTTACTATTTTGTAGGCTTTGCCTGGAAATAATAAACATCTAGATAATAGGTTATAAGGATTTTAACTAATGGACTCTTATCTGTGTTTTCTATGGAAGATTTGATATTGAGGTCTCATCTAGACAAGTTTTACTTAAAAGGGCATCTTCAAATAAAAAAATTCAAGATTTCATATTTAGCTCTGAATGTCTGTTTCTTTAAAATCTCCTTGTTTAGCCAGTTTAGACTAATGTCTGAGCTAATTGTGTTTGCCTTTTTTGGAGAGGTTAGAAAAGGTCACTACATTAGAAAAGACCAGTTGTGGAAATAGTAATTTTTTAAAATATAACTTAATAGTGATATCTGATGTTGTTGGTATACTAAAAGTGGACATAGACAGTTAAAGGAACCAAAGAGGCAAAGAGGAGTTATTAGGAACCTACTGTAAGATTTTGTGTCGAGCGCTAAGAATTTATTAATTTGTTGAGTTCAGCAAATAATACTGGCAGTTTATTTTAGTGTTTTGTGCTTATTTAGCTCTTTTACCCAAATATTCTAATAATAATCTCCTTGGAGAGTACACATACTCTTTGAAATGATTCATTTTTTCAAAGGGCGTATTTATTTGAGTTTTTTTGAAGGGCATATTTAATAGCTGCTGCAAACATGGAGTAGTGCTTTAATCAGTGGTGAAAAAGAAATTGCTGTTGTTGGCTATAAAAGCAAGGAACATTAATGTTCTTGTACCATAGTAATCAGAAAAAAAAATAATTGGTCAAATAGTGTTTAATTTGTAGTTTGTGTCCAAGTAGAATCAGATAATTTGGATAGGCTTTTGTCTTAGTTAAAAATTAGGACATTTGGTATGATAAAGACAGAAAATTCAGGACGCAATGATCGTAGCCTAAGATGACTGCTGCAGTAGGCATAGCCACCTCCTAAAGTGTTTTCAGCTGCTTGGTATATGAACTTTAGGCGGTCCTTGACTTGTACATGCTTCCACAAATACTTCGTGGATACATGCTGCCAGAGAGTCATTGTTGGAAATTTTTGCGTCTTTCAGATTTTCGTACAATATTCTTTTACTGCAATATCTATTAGATAGAACATTGAAACAAATGAACTTGGGTTCAGGTACAGCATGTGTAACAAAGCTTACTGTTGGGTCTGCACCAGAGCAAGAGTCTTCCTCTTCATTAGGAATTTCTGTATCGAGCATAGGCAAATTAATAAAATCTACTCAGTCTCAAAAGGGAAACCAAGTAAACAGAATGATTCTTTTGTAGAAAGTTACACTGTCCAAGTAATTGTTATAGGTGTTTTTAGTATTTTTCCTTTCATTTTCACACAAGTCCTAAATAGTTTCATTCCCCTTTGCTAAATGATTTAAGATTTCACAACATCACTTTTTTTTCTTTTAACCAAATATTTGCAACAATCCAATACAACATACTAGTTTAATGCAAGAGCTTGGCCGGAAGCAGTGGCTCATGCCTGTAATCCCAGCACTTTGGGAGGCCAAGGCGGGTGGATCACTTGAGGTGAGGAGTTCGATCTTTACTTAAAATACAAGATTAGCTGGGCATGATGGTGTATGCCTGTAATCCCAGCTACTCAGGAGGCTGAGGCAGGAGAATCGCTTGAACCTGGGAGGCAGAGGTTGTAGTGAGCCAAGATTGTGCCACTGCACTCCAGCCTGGGCAACAAGAGCAAAACTCCATCTCAAAACAAAACAAAACAAGAGCTTAGATTGAATAAGTCTCATTATTACCTTACTTTGTCGTTACCCAAAAAACAAAAATAAGGGTGTTACTCATGAATGGATTTGTTTTGATTACTTGATCTGCGACTTAAGTTTTTGCAGAATTGGGTGTTTTGGTAGGAGAATATACCTAATTTAGAGCATGGAACATTATGATATGGTAGGGGGAGCATGGGTGAGAGATTTTTAGCATAAGGGTGTTATGCATTTGGCACTAGAAGGGGAACGGGAGGCTGCCAAGCATCAGTCGAATGAGGAGATTTTTACTTTTCGATTTTCCACACTATTCCATTTTCACAGTGAAATAGTTGAAGCCTTTCCTGGAATCTTAATTTTTTTTTTTTTTTTTTTTTGAGACACGGTCTCACCCAGCCTGGAGTGCAGTGTGTGATCTCAGCTCACTGCAGCCTCAGCCTCCCAGGCTCAAGTGATTCTCCAGCCTCAGGCTCTGGAGTAGTTGGGATTGCAGGCATGAACCACTACCGCCCAGCTAATTTTTGTGTTTTTGTTAGAGATGGGATTTCACCATGTTGGCCAGGCTGGTCTTGAATTCTTGACCTCAAAGTGATCCACCCACCTCAGCCTCCCAAAGTGCTGGGATTGCAGACATGAGCCATCATGCTTGGCCGTGTCCTGGAATATTAATATTTTGGTTCTTTCAATTGACTTCTCATACTGGGAAGCAGCACTTAAGATTTTAGATGGACTGGGTTAGTTTCTGAGAATTGAGATAAGAGTGTGTGTGGCCTCCTGTGACATGGATGCAAGTAAAGCTAACATTTCATGATTTAGCCATGCACATGATTGTATTGTCACATTTGTGTGACTGTTAAGAGATACTGTGTTTTAGATATTGTTTGGGAGACTTCTTTTGCAGTCCTGTCATCTCTACACCACTTTTACACCACTTTTTCTTAGCATGTCAGTCCTTTGAGCCTGTTAACACTCTAGTATGAATCTCCCCATGTTTTTCTCCATGCTTATAAAATCATAAATCATGTATGTGTGTATCATTTCATAGAAATGGCCTATGTTTAACTTAATATTTTGTATCAAAGAATTGACACTTGAATAAGGTCAGTATTTTCAGTTATCTTTTCTACTAGAAATGGTCTAAGTAGTTTTTCTCTTGGGAAAGAGATGATTACTTCAGTTGTTTAGCAAAGTGTGCCAGGCACTAATCAAGGTGCTGGAGGGATAGTCAGCTCTGCCTTGAGGGAGCTTACCCACCTAGCCACTGTATGAGGAAAGTCATAAAATTATAACCAATATTTGTAATACTGATTTATAGTTTAAGGAAAAGTGTCAGGGATAGTGACTTTCCAAGGACACACAGTTAATAGCTGGTACAGACAGCATTCTGAATTCTAGATCATACTCTTATTCTTAGGATTATATCACACAATCTTAATTATGATGCCAAGTAGAACTATAATGAATACTGGTATGATAAACAGAATTTCTAAACATTAAGAATTGTCAATATAAGAATTTTAATTTACCTTACAGCTTGCAGTATTTATGACCCTAAAGAGGGAAGTCGTTTTGAAAGTAGATAGGAAATCATGTAACTAGATATTTCTATAGTTGAAGCAAATTTTCTCCTTAGTGTCTTACCTTTATCTGTAGTTAGATTTAATTAACTTCACTGACCTAAACTGTTTGATTTTAATGTTTTCCAAGACTTAAAATTTACCTTTTTATTAATGGTAGATAGGGTGATATGCCCAGCATAAAATATAAGTCAGATATTTTAAGTTCAATCAGGGGAGACTGCTGCTTTCCTATTAGAGATAAAGCAAACTCATTTAATTCCTATAAATGAAATTTTCTTTCCTTAAGAAAATAATTGCTCTTTTTTAATTTTAAGAAATTCTCAATTCATGTTCTTAGCTTATATTTGAAACATAGGATATTATTTTTAAAATGAAATCCTGCTGATATTCAGATGTGGGTTTTTTTTTTGTTTTTTTGTTTTTTTTTGAGACGAGAGTTTATCTGTCACCAGGCTGGAGTGCAGTGGCACGATCTTGGCTCACTGCAACCTTTGCCTCCTGGGTTCAAGGGATTCTCCTGCCTCAGCCTCCTGAGTAGCTGGGACTACAGGCACACACCACCAGGCCCAGCTAATTTTTGTATTTTTAGTTGAGATGGGGTTTCCCCATGTTGGCCACGATGGTCTCAATCTCTTGACCTCGTGATCCACTCACCTTGGCCTCCCAAAGTGCTGGGATGACAGGCGTGAGCCACTGTGTCCCGCTGATTTTTTATTTTTATATATATATAATAGCAATGGGTTGCACAACCACTGTACACTCCATTTCTTGATTACTTACTAGTTAGTATATTTGTTTATTGCTTTTTGAAAACTTGACATTTGTTTTCCTTGGTTTGGAAGTTTAATATTAATTTTTTTTTATTCAATTACAGGAATCAGAGGAGGGTTACTGTGACTTTAATAGTAGGCCACATGAAAACTCTTACTGCTATCAACTTCTGCGACAACTAGATGAACAGAGAAAGCAAGATATTCTTTGTGATGTTAGCATTGTGGTAAGCGGAAAAATCTTCAAAGCTCATAAGAACATCCTGGTTGCAGGCAGCCGTTTCTTTAAGACTTTATATTGCGCTTCAGACAAAGAAAAACCTAAGCAAAACAATACTACCCATTTAGATATTGCTGCAGTTCAAGGTTTTTCAGTCATCTTGGACTTCTTGTATTCTGGTAACCTGGTGCTCACAAGCCAAAATGCCATTGAAGTTATGACAGTGGCCAGCTATCTTCAAATGAGTGAAGTTGTTCAAACTTGCCGAAATTTCATTAAAGATGCCTTAAATATAAGCATTAAATCAGAAGCTCCAGAGTCTGTAGTTGTGGACTATAATAATAGAAAACCAGTTAATAGAGATGGCCTGTCTTCATCACGGGATCAAAAAATTGCCAGTTTTTGGGCAACACGGAATCTTACCAATTTGGCAAGTAATGTAAAGATTGAAAATGATGCTTGTAATGTCGACGAGGGCCAAATAGAAAACTACCAAATGAATGACAGTAGTTGGGTCCAGGATGGATCTCCTGAAATGGCTGAAAATGAATCTGAAGGTCAAACAAAAGTGTTTATTTGGAATAATATGGGCTCCCAGGGAATTCAAGAGACTGGCAAAACGAGGAGGAAAAACCAAACAACAAAAAGATTTATTTATAATATTCCACCTAATAATGAAACAAATTTAGAAGATTGCTCAGTGATGCAGCCACCTGTTGCCTATCCAGAAGAAAATACACTACTCATCAAGGAAGAGCCAGGTAAATATAAAGGATGGTTCTGTGTTCACCCTAATTCTAGTTGGATAATCTTGAAGTACATTTTTAGTTGAATTATTTTAAAGTAATACTAAATTTGTTTATAATACAAGAGGGGCCATCATTCAAATGGATATTTGATATATTTTCGTTGTCTTTTTTCAGTGCATATGTATGTGGGTTTATCAGAAGATGTGTTAATAGCCAGGCATTTAATATATTGTTAAGGAATGTGGACTCTGCTAAATGTACAGGTCTTTGACTTTTCTTCATCTTTAGCCTCCGTACTCACTTTTATACCCAGTGTGAAAAGATAGACTGTTTAGTTGCAATATATAATCACATTTCAGAGACCTTATTTATTTATTTATTTTTGGCTGTTGGAACATTTAAGTGTTTAAAATAATTTTGCCATTTATGAGATTATGGTATTCTAATTTGTTTAGGGCTAACTGTTCTTTTTTTTGAGTCAGAGTCTCTGTCACACAGGATAGAGTCTCACTACAGCCTCCACTTTCTGTGATCAAGTGATTCTCCTGCCTTAACCTCCCAAGTAGCCGGGACATGCTACTACACCCAGCTAATATTTGTATTTTTAATAAAGATAGGGTTTCACCATGTTGGCTAGGTTGGTCACGAACTTCTGACCTCAGGTGCGCTGCCCACCTCAGCTCCCAAAGTGATGGGATTACAGATGTGAGCCACCACACCTGGCCTAGAGCTACTGTTCTGTTCTCACCATAGAAGCTGGAATATTTTGTTTGCCCACTGTCACCTGATTTTCATTCATCTTTGCATTCATTGCAAAGCCTCTGAGGCTTGTCTCTTCAATATATTTCCCTCCAAAAGTTATATAGGAATCTTAGAGAATCACATTGTTGGTGGGGATTTTATAAAAGAAGACCATTGTTAAGTCTTTAATCTGGTTGTGCGTATCTTTATTTGAAGATGCACACTCAGTGGGTTTGAGGTTTCCTATACATACCTGAGGCTTGTCCACCACTGTCAAAAATTATTTAATGCTTGAAACGCTAAAACGGTTCAGTGTCTGATTTATATGATCATGATCATCTGAGGATGGAGTATTTTCTGTGAAAAGAATCACTATTTTTAGTTGCCAGAGGGCAAAATGTCGTAGTAATCATGTGAAATGTTCCTCTGGCTTTTTAGATTTGGGTTAGTTTTCAGTGGATGGATTTTTTTTTTTGAAATTTTTACTGTGTGAAAATCGTCAGGTGTATATAATGGATACTATTTGCTGATATTTCTTGTACTTCATATCAAGTTTTAATAATAAAATCCCTGAGACAATTTAAAGTATTAAGGGTAGATAGACTCCTTAGCACTTTGTTTTGTCTTAATAATGTAGAAGACCTTGACAGATTTCTCATTAGAGATACATTGTCTTTCCGCTGCATGGATTGTTCCTATTTAACAGTATGGTGGGAACCCTGAATTGTTTTTTTTGAGACAGTTTTTCTCTTGTTGCCCAGGATGGAGTGCAATGGCACAATTTTGGCTCACTGCAACCTCCGCCTCCCGGATTCAAGCAATACTCCTACCTCAGTCTCCTAAGTAGTTGGGATTACTGGCATGAGCCACCAGCCCGACCCTCCCCTGTAGTGTTTTTGAATATACACTCAAGCATGTGAGCACACGCACACAATTTTCCTTGAAGAAATAAGATCTTTTGGGTGTAGCAGTTGTCCGGTGGCAACTAATCAGTAGTAACCCCATTTAAAAAACTAATACATATAATTGGAGTGATTTAAAGAAAAGCATTAATGATGAACCACAATGCATACTTTCAAAAATAACATCGCTAGCAGTGTTTATCAAATATCTCCTAGCCATGGTTCTGTCAATGGACTAGGTCTATCATAAATTAATTGGTGGTGGTCTAATATGCTTACTTTTATAGAGGGAATGAGGGATGGATGGAATAATTTTTTTTCTATATGACTTGTCAGTTGTGCCAACGTTATTTACTCTAGTAATTTTTTTTTTTTAAAACGGAGTCTCATCTGTTGCCCAGGCTGGAGTGCAGTGGCACAGTTCAAGAATTCCCCCAGAGTCCTGTTTTTGCAGGTTAGGTGCTCTTCCGCCCACCTTGTGATGAATACACAGAATTCACTCTTCACTTTCCAGGGAAGATCTGACCAATACAGAACACAGTGGGCCTGTGTTTACCAATCTTAAGGCCTTCCCAAGGTCATTCAGCTAATAAAAGTAGAAAGAGGCAGGTTTCATATTTAGGATTATCCTGCATTATTAAAGCCTTGCAATTAATTAACCACTAAAATAGTAGAGTCCTGTCATTTTAAAAAATTAGTTTCTTTTAGCTTTAAAATATTTTTATGATCCCCTTCATCATTATGCTTTAATTTCCATTTATTGAGACAACAAAATTTTCCCTTAAATAATGCCTTTAAATACATTTAAAATTCTATAACAAACAACTGAAAAGTCTTAGTGAATTGTTCAACCTGCAATGCTTGGTACGTGTGGATTTGTGGGTCTGTTGTTGCAACTGTGACTTCCCGCAGGTCTTCAGTCCACAGTTTGTAAGATATAGCCCTAATAACACTGTCTTCTGGTATGATGTTGAAGCTTTTGTTGGGGTGCCTTTTAAAAATTGAGAAAAGAAAGTATACCCATAGCTGCAGGGTTTTTATTCAGATTTTTTTTTAAACTTGAAATTAACATTTGTTGTTTGAGTCACTACTGGGATCCACTTCAGATTATTACTGATATAAGAGAATACTTGAAGGTAGACTCAAGGTAACTCACAAAAGTTAGAAACTTCTGTCCTAATAGAATACTCACATGACATGCTGGGGTTATAATAATTAAAACTGGGAATAATAATTAAAACTGACAGCAAAAACTAAAATCTGGGTAATCAAATAAGGGTAGAAGTGATGTCATGAATGAATTGCTCTGATAATGCAAAAATCTCAAAATCCTTGTCTTGCTAATTTGCAACGAGGAAACACTAAATTTTAGCCAAATAAGGTAGATGACCTGAGATTAGAAATGGAATTGTAGAAATACAGATAACTACTGCCTAAATTTGTTTTACAATGTATATTCACCCATGTTATGTCCGATTTAATTAGCATAAGTCAGGTGTTAATCTCATTTTTTAAAACTACTTTATTCTGTGGGCTCATGGAACCTGGTTTTCTGAGCCTAGATTTTTAAGTTTATGCTAGTCATACTAGCAACTTCTACCTATTATAAATAATTTTACTCTACTCTCATTCTGTGTTGCATGCATACATATTGTATTTTGAAATGACAGAAATAAATTGGCAAAATAAAGTAAAATTGGCAAAGAGTGCTCATCATGGATATAAACGTGGTTGCCCTAATTAAGCTTTTTTTTTTTTTTTTGAAGGTAGGGTTTCACCATGATGGCCAGACTGGTCTTGAACTACTGACCTCAGATGATCCATCTGTCTTGGCCTCCCAAAGTGCTAGGATTACAGGCGTGAGCCACCGCGCCTAGCCAATTAAGCTTTTAATTGGCTCTAAGATACTAAAACAGCCTTACTCAAAAGAGAAAAATACACCAGTTCTACAGGATGACAAACTTCCTGGGACTGACTTCTGAAAAGTGATTTCTCCAGTGGAGTTTGGTTTTATGTAGTTGACACCAAGTAATATAATGGACAGTTTCTTCAGGGATTTTCTAGTAAATGCCGAAGTCGATTATTTTATTTTTTAATCTTTGCCAAAATCTGATGTAGTTCTGTGTCAGTGATTTTTTTTTTTCCCTTAATGCCATATGAGTATTCAAATGTAAGGTAATTTTCGTTGATCAAAAGATAGAATTTAGATATCTTTTAAATAACCTGGAAGTTTCTCTCACCTAGACTATTGATGGGAAAATAGTTTTGCAGCATTTGTAGGATTATATTCTTACGAGTAGAGTTGAAGTCATGTTGAAACTTTGCATTTTTTATTTGTGTAATTGCTTTTTTGGTTAAAAAAAAAAAAAAGCATATGATTTGATGCTTAGAATACTATTTCCAGAAAAGAATATTCAAACTAGAGAGACTTAAGAAATCCCAATAAGGGCATATATTTGAAATAATGGATTATTAAATTACAGTAAACTCTATAATTAGTTATCTGCTAACCAGAAATTCTGTTCCTCTGTGTTTTGTGTATAATTTATTTAACATTCATATTATTTTACGAGTGTGTGTGTGTGTGACAGTCTTGCTCTGTCACCCAGGCTGGAGTGCAGGGGCATGATCATGATCATGGCTTATGGAAACCTCAACCTCCTGGGCTCAAGTGATCCTCCCACCTCACTCTCCCCTAATGAGCCCCACAGAACTTGGTGCTGTAGGCATGCGCCACCATGCCTGGCTAATTCATTTTTATTTTTAGTAAGGATGAAGTCTCACTTTGTTGCCCAGGAGGCTGGTCTCAGGCTCAAGGGATCCTCTAGCTTAGCCTCCGAAACTGCTGGGATTACAGGCTTGAGCCACTAAAGAGACTTGGGCTTTAGATTCAGTTCTGCGACTTCACTAGCCTTGAGTGTATCCCAAACAGCCACCCTAATGGAAAAGAAGTAAAATTTCAACCTTATAATAATTGTGAGTTCTGAAGACTCAAAAGCTTTTTCTTAATCGTTTTGGCGACAAATCAGCTATTTATATTTTTCTACTCCTTAAATGTGAATATTCATTTTTTTTTTTTTTTTTTGTTCTTGTTTTTGTGAGACGGAGTTTTGCTCTTGTTGCAACAACCTCCGCCTCCCAGGTTCAGGTAATTTTCCTGCTTCCGGCTCCTGAGTAGCTGGGATTACAGACATGCACCACCACACCTGGCTACTTTTGTGTTTTTAGTAGAGGCAGGGTTTCTCCATATTGGTCAGGCTGGTCTCGAACTCCTGTCCTCAGGTAATTCACCCACCTTGGACTCCAAAAGTGCTGGGATTACAGGTGTGAGCCACTGCGCCCGGCAAGTATTCATGTTTTGTGGAAATA